CCACACTCACAACGAGCCTGCCGAGAGCGCCACAGAGCTCCCACTCCCTGCTCCGCCCCCATCGGACCGTGGAGAGCGCAGGCTGCAGCCCGGACAAACCACAGCACGGGGGTGACCCTCGACTACAGGGATGGGCACAGAGCAGGAGCCGGCACACAGGATGGGAAAGAGCCTGGGCGAAAACAGCAAGCAGCTTCTTTCGTCTCGGGGTGAAAATAAACGTGCACCTGTCTATCTGGCAAGAAAGCCGAAAGAGGAAATCTGCAGTGACTTCACACACCACTTTTCAAACGCCAAGTTTTCACGCACACCGACGACGGGGAGTTCAGTGACTCACGGCTTCCTTCTACATTCACAAGTGAATTCCTCAATGGCAAATAAACTAATTCCCAGTCGATAGCAATAGGAATGCAATATGCAGTACATTGCCTATATTATTCTGACAGAAAATCAGTTATTAAGCAAGAGAGCAAAGCTCAAGTGACTGCTTTCTGAGCCTTTTACACTTTCCAAGATTTTACACTTTCTTCTGAAACGTCCGACTTCACTTCATTTCCAGCCAGGTAACTCTTTACCTGGCACCCGGCCCAAAGGCAAAGAGTAAAGGGGTAAAAAGACCTTATCAGTCAACTGTAATTGCAAAAACAAGCTGCTCTCCTTCACACTGTCCACTGCTGAACTCGTCAAGTGCCTCGACAGCAGACTCATCTCCTGACACACCGAGAGCGAGAGAGAGAGAACACAGGCTTGGCTTGAGAGTTGCAGATGGTCCTGTCCTGTCTTGAGAAGATCAAGGCACATCCTGAATCAAGAGACCGAGTCGATTCTGATCAGAGAAAAGTAGTGACAAGTCTGCCGAGTGGGTCAGTTCAGCTTGATTTTTCACAGTCTTGTGGATAAAGGAGAGACGTTTGACACCATGACAACCCAAGATGCCCAAAAAGAGACAATGGTCAGAATCACACTCATCCAACACCAGGCAGCTTTGAAAATTATTACAGCTCTGGAAAACCTGTAAAAACAAAAGGCCTTCATCCCAACTCTAAACCCTAATCCAATGACAGGATTCTGATCTCCAGGCCACATAGCTACAAGTAGTAACTACACAAGACAAACTGCACAACCACTTAAAAAGCACAGAGAATAGTTGCTTCATCTGGAACAACCATCTTCGACAACTTTCACTGCTGCAACACTGTTTCCAGGCTGCAAATGCCAATTTCTAGATACAGCTGTTGTGAATTACTGCATTTCTAACTCGCTATGTAATTTACTATTCTGTTGTGAGGTCCAGTCTCTCGTTTAGAGAAAGACCAAGTATCCAAAATTGTTAATGTTTTAAAAACGCATCTGATAAAGGCGTATGCTTTATTGTCAATATCAGATGGATAAAAAGTAATGCTCGAGTTGAATAGGATTGACCAAATATTTTAGATAGACGAGGATAAGGATCAAATAATAATCTAATTCTGCGTATGGAATGTGACTGTCAAAATGAAAACATTGCAGTCAGGACATGACCTTCCTAAGCATTAACACAATGAATGCATGATCATGGAGCAATATGGTTGAATCCAATCTGGCGTTTCGTTATAGGAGATTCCTCCTCACATCTCAGTTCCACCACTCTGCCATGTGTGGTTGGCTTGGGCAGCGCCAACAGTCTGTACTGCATCGCGTGTGTGTGTGTGGGATCGTCACACACAGACAGGTCTGTTCGGGGCGGAACAGGACACCCCTACCACACTCTGTTCCGCCACCTCAGATGCTGGCCCACAGAAGGTGTTGACACCGGAGAGCAATGCTCCATTTTACCTCTGTGCAGCTCTGTCCAGACAAGCAGATATATGATATGCAGGTTGACCAGCTCCAGTCATGCTGCCGACTCAGGTTATTTCTCCCTGGAATTTCCCACACTGTCATCACCGCAGAGATTGTACTGTAAGGGTCTTGGGCCTGGTCTGGTGCAGGAATCCTCTGCCTTCAGTTTAATCACACAGAAAAAGTTTCTCTAGGCCAGTCTGCTGTTTATTGAAACAGACTAACTCATTCTCTAGGTGCTGTCTGTCCCAGGCAGGACACATGCAATGAAGCCAGTTCAACCAGGCTACATAAATTACTCCAAGAGGGCACGTCACATTCTCCGTTCTTAGGTTAATTAAAATCATATTGTTTTGCATGGCTAGCTATACAGATTCTTCATTAACTCATTAGGCAATTTTAATTCTCAAGCACCAAACACTGAACTAAAGCTGAAGTGAACTTGATCCCAGAGACAAATATAACTAAAACTACATTCTCACAACTTAACGTGTCCAATAAGACATTGATGTAAGACAGTACTATGGCTGACAAACGTGTACCAGCAGATGTACAACTCAAAGTAAATAGCATTTTAACTGCATAATTAGTTAAAACCATTTAAAATGTAATAAAATTCAAAAGCATGAACTGCAGCACTATCACCTCGCAGCCTGATGCCGTTGGCTCTAACACACCAGGGTCCAGCCAAGTCAGCACTGGGACAGGAGTCAGCCTGCTGCAACATGCGGCTCCGACAGACCTGCAGAAGGCGCCCTTTCCTACAGGCCTGAATGTCCACACCAGAGTCAGACCAGGGACAGCTGCAGTAGGAGGTACCATTCTTCAGGTGAGATGTTCAACTGTGGACTACACGGCCATCAAAGACCCCAGTGGGCTGTCTGTAAGAGTTGGGGCATTAACCTCAATGTTGGGTCTAAAATACACTATGGACCAAACTGGCCTTACTAAAGATCTTAGTTTTACACTCCTGGTCTGCTGTGCGTCTCCCAGGTGGGCCTGCTGGTCCATAATAATAATAATAATAATAATACTTGCTTACACTTATATAGCACTTTTCTGGACACTCCACTCAAAGCTCTTTACAGGTAATGTGGATCCCCTCCACCACCACCAGTGTGCAGCCCCACCTGGATGATGTGACGGCAGCCATAGTGCACCAGTACACTCACCACACACCAGCTCTCAGTGGGGAGGAGAGCAGAGTGATGAAGCCAATTCATAGAGGGGGGTTATTAGGAGGCCATGACTGGTAAGGGCCAATGGGAAATTTGGCCAGGACACCGGGGTTACACCCCTACTCTTTTTGAGAAGCGCCCTGGGATTTTTAATGAGCACAGAGGGTCAAGACCTTGGTTTTACGTCTCACCTGAAGGACAGCGCCTGTTTACAGTATAGTGTCCCCGTCACTATACTGGGGCATTAGAACCCACACAGACCGCAGGGTGAGCACCCCCTGCTGGCCCCACTAACACCTCTTCCAGAATGGCCTCTGTGTGTCTCACAGGTGGGGCTGCTGGTGCAGAATGATCCCTGTGTGTCTCCTAGGTGGAGGGTTCACTTCATCCACTACTAAAAGGTCAAAGATCTTTTGGAAAGAAAAATCATTGTGGTTGTGTAGTGGTTATGATTACAACAGCTCCAGTGAAGTTCCATCTGGGTCTGTCCCAGCAGATGAACCCTGAAGAAATCACTAATGCATGTTCTCATGAATTCCACTGGGGACAAACGTTTGGAATCTCACCTCCCACAGACAGTGCAGTAACCTCTTGAGCCAGACAGAGGAGTGAGCCTCAAGCCTTCACCCCGCTAAACTCCAGACCTGCGCACAACCCACATCAACCCTGTAAACGAGACCTCTTTCTTAAGCTTTCCACGACCGCAAGGGAAAAAAATGTAGTTTCTGGACACTCAAGTAAAATGCAACTCCCCCCCCCCCCAATACACAAGGTTTGCAGCACGTGCGCACCCCCCCCCCCACGGGTGAAGGGGAAATCCCACGGCCTCTCGCCCCACGTGGGCCGGATGCGAGGCAAACTGCAATGCACGCAGTTTAAAGCGCAGTTTAGAGCAAACTGGGATGCCTGGAGCAAAAAGCGCACAAAAATAATAACCGTTTCCGACAGCGGCAGGAAGGCCCGGTGCTCAACGCCGCTGTTCACCTAAAAGGCGTTTAAAAGAAGAAGAAAAAACAACAACAATTCCTCGGCTGGTCGTTTTCAAAAGTATCCCGAAAACGGGTCTGGGGAGGGGGTTCGGGGTTCAGCCAGCGCTCGGGCTGGAGACCCGCCGGGATGGCCAGCGGTCCGCGCTCACAGGGCCGACACTCGCACTCGCCCGGGGAAACACACCGGGGCTCCCGGCTGAGAAACACGGGCCGGCGCCCGGACGGGCCTCGGAGGGGGTCCCATCCCCGCTCCCCGCCGAGGAAACAACTAATCCTGCGGAGGAGGGGAGGGCACTCAACTCTAACCAACTCTCCATGCCTCGCCTCTTAACCCTCTCTCCAAAAACAAAAGGGCGGGGAAGGGTTAACAGACGAAGGACGTGTCTGCCGAGACGCCGCTGCCCCCCCCAACCCCAACCCCAGAAACGGGCCCCGGTATTACAGACACTACGGTAACTCGGGCCGTATTTACCGAACCAGGCACACAAAACGTTTTTTCCCCCTTTTGACATTGTGCACATGGTGCTGCGTGGTTCGCCTCACTGACGACCGTCCACCCAGGGAATAAAAATAAAACGACTGGCCGTGTGGCGGGGGGTGTCGTGTTCAGAGCATTTCTACCCGGCGGTGTGGCCTCCTCTCTCACACAAACAGCCCCTCGTATCACCCACACATGCGTGGCTCCCGAGCCTAGCGGATTCCCGATAACCTTTTGCAATTAGAAGAAGAACATGGATTAAACTGCTCAGAAGGACGGCGTCGGCTTCCCCAAACTGAAAAAACCGCAGTTAACAAGTTCATTCGGGCGCACGTCCGTCGTGTCGACTCACTTCCACCGCCCTCACTCCGCGCAATGCTCAGTTTACCTCGGTGCGGGCTGGCAGGTACGCCTCGGTCCTTTCGCCTCAACGTGTGTAACAAAAATGCCTCCGTGCTCGTATTATCCTCCTCACCACCCCCATACACCGTGCATAATCCAGCCACCCTTCTCCCGACAGCAACACGTACTCACCCAGCGCAACTTAAAAAAAAAACAGGATTCCAACCCCACCAAAAAAATAAAAAAAACGAATCCGTTGTGTAAACAGCTGCAGCTGCTACCACTGCCAGCCAGCCAGCTCCTCCTCGGCCGCAAAGCACAAAAAAAATTAATAATAAACGTAGCCCCGCCGCCGCAACAGCTAAACTAAACCCGTCCTTCCCCCCCCCGGCTCGTACCCGCCTCTTCCGAGTTCTCCCCTGTCATTGGTCGGAACACTTGTCCATCGAGAAGATTGCCACAATCGGCGCTGAGATCACAGGTAGCGGTCACCGCCCCCACAAAAGCGCTCGGATGCCATTGGCGAGCCCATATGGCAGTCACGGCGTGACGTCATCGGTTTACCCTCGGTTCTCTGATGCGACGTTTGCGCTCCCCTCACCCACAGCGCGGCGCCTGCTGCCCGTCAGCGGCTGTGTCGCTGTGAATCGTCGTCTTCATTCAGCGCCTCCTGCTCGCCTTCGTGAAATAATTTCCAGAGTACTCACTTTCGGGCCGGCAAACCCCCTTCGTTTCGAAAGGGACATTAGAAAAACAAAAAGTTTACCGACGACCCGAATACCGCGTGGGGATGTGCGTTCACCCGCATATCTAGAGCGAGCCTTCTGAGGGCTTCCCAGAAAATTCACTTTTTCGCGAAATTTATAGGGTTTAGTTTGATACGAGTCGACAACGGCACTCAGGACGGCTGGCCCGAGTTCTAGCAACCAAGCAGACCAAAATTCATTATAAACACAGGGCTCTAGCTGCCCCCCAGACACCACGCCAGAGGACAGCTCCACATCTGATCCACAGGAATATATATATCATACAGATAACATGGCAGCAGTTTTCTCCAACCACTGTCTGTAATGCTTCAATCAGTCATCGAAAGGGTCAGCTCAACAGTTAAGGTGCTGGTTGGAGTAAACTCTGCGAAGGAGCAGCCTGGAGGGGGGCAGTTCGGGCTTTGCTGTTGTTGGTAATCCCAGGGAGAGGGAGAGGGCCAAACCTACTGCCCGCAATAATGAGTACAACTGGAAATGCATTCATAAACCTCAGTTCGCCAGTGACTGGCAGCTCCAGCAGTGTTACAGTCAGGTCTGTTTGCAAACCGCAAGGCCACTGAGCCCACGGCGAGATCGCGTCCACCGCTGACAGGCCCCCTGCTCTGACTTCCCCTGCGGAGAGGACGCCGCACGGCCCCAGGCCAAGCACAGTGCCCTGACCCCTCGCCGTCCGGCCCCCAGCAAGCCTGTCCTGTGGTGTGTGCTCCGTCACCCCGCGCGAGCAGGTACAGGGACACGGATCTTCGCTCCCTCTGCCAGCTGCTGTGGAACGCCCTGGGCTGCATCTGCACCCCC